AAGAATTAAGTAAAATAACAAACATTAACAATTGTCATATATTTACTTCAATAATGGGCAAAAAAGACAAAGAGAAATTTTCTATACGAGTAGAATATAATGATGAGTTTACTCCATTAATTGTAGTTCATCAAATCAAAAATAAAACGTCTCAACATAATAAACACAAAAAATCTCCAATAAGTATTGGATGGATTATTGTTGGCCAACCTAATAACTTTGATTTTGACCAGTCCGAATATCCTATAGTGCTTAAAAGTAAAAAATATTCTGTTTCTTCTAAGATAGATAAACATTATAAAGTAGAAAATCTAGAAATTCATGAATCTGATAATACTTGCATATTAAGTACATGCATACTTAGAGCACCTAAGCCAACCGAAACAACTATTATTATTAATGCACGCATTATTCCTTCTAGTAGTTCATCAAGCATATTTATTCATGACCTTAGAAATACTGGTGATTATGAAGCTGATGCTACATTTATGCGAAGATTGGAGTTATTGGTTTGGTAAATTCTTTATTAAATAATTAATGACAGATAATATAGTAAACTAATTAGTTTTTTTTATATTTTAATACAGTACTATTGATACTAATCAGAAATGTATTTTATTGGAAAAAAAGTAAAACAAAACCGCATAATATATTATGCCACAGAAGAGAAATTTGATTGGCAATAAAATCTGGAATTTTACATAACAAAAAAGAAAATATTCCATTATACATGTATTAAATGTTGGGTCAATATCCTTTACTATGTTCTATGTGATTTGCTAACTCTTTGTTACATAACGATTAGCTTAATATGTGCACAAATCTTGAACAGTTTTGACATCTTCATCTAGCTATATTTTCTAAAAAATCGCAGTTATTTTTTGTAATATACTATGTCTTTGGGTGATTATATTTTTAGGTGTTGCAATAAATGTGGACCCTTTCAACTAAGGATGGTTTGGTTACAGTTAATGGCCATAACCGATACCGATCGGTTAAAAATATTATAGTGAACTCTCGATATAATATAGTGAAGGATTCAAACTAGTCTATAAAAACCTCATTTACCTATAAAATTTTAATATAATGAATTTTTACTAGTGAACTAATCACTTTACATATATTCATTTTTATACTTAACACCAATCCTGGCGACGTTTTAGTTATATTTAATAATATAAAAATACTTTCTGTAATGATTTTTTTATGTATATTTATTTATAACGCCTAATGAGTAAATACATATATTCATAAAAAGTTAATTATAATCATAGTTTATAAAATAATGTTAGAAGTTTATTGAATAATATTACAATGATTTGAATATATCTAACAACCGGAATACAATCAAAATATTTAATAACTAAAAATGATAATTTATATACATTTCATATAGTATTTATAATAATAATTAGGCACTAGATATATAAATTTTGAGTTTTCATACTTAACAGTTTATTAGTACGATTACTGCATCTATAAACATTTTCCAAAATAATATCATTTCTTAATATAAAGAAAATAATTATTAATTAAAATTCATCGTAATTATGAAAAAAGGAATTTAATATACAAATTTTATTACCTTCTTCAGATATTTTCATACCAATTAAGTCTAAACCGAATTTTAATCCGGAGAATTCATATTCACAATTATCAACTATAATTTCTTGATATTTTGAAAGTACACACCATTGTAATATAACTTCTATACTCTTTGGACTACTTTCAATATTATTATAAAGTTCACTAGTTTCACTTTCGCTACTGCTATAAGAGTCTTCTTCATTGATTATTTCAACATAGCCATCAGAATCAGAATGTTCGATGGTTACATCATCAACAGAACTTTCACAATATTCAATGATCACTTCTTCATAACTTTCAACACGTTCAATAATCAAATTTTCATCATTGTCAGAGTGTTCATCAATTTCAGATTCGAAATTGTCAGAGGATCCATTACCTTCTATTCGATCTGAATCGCGTATTGAGATTTTAATCATATAATCTTCATCGATAGTAATTATGTATGTAGGTCCACAATCAGTTAGATATTTTAATGTTGCACAAATAACAGAACCTATGGGTAAATCCTCCGGAACCTGTAACAAAATATCTTCAAATTGTTTATCACAAATATATGTAAATTTATGATTACCCGAAGCCAATACAGAAATTCCTCGAGAGTTTTGACTGTAATATCCAAATTCGGGCAATCCAATCATAATCCAATATATTTTTGAATTTAAATATATTGACCTAAAAAGTTTATAAACAATTTAGAAAAATTTAGAACTTAATAATTATAAAAGATTAATAAAATAACCAAATAATTACTCAGTTTCATCAATATCAATTATTACTGAAAATCCACGTTTAGTCATTGATTTGAATTTTAAAGCTGTATTAATTGACTCCCCGTTTGGCGTTATAAGCTTTCCAAAAATTTGATAATTATCTGAAGTTAATTCTTTAGTGAAATTTACTCTACAGTAATGATCTTTAATTGAAATTACTCCCGACATGAGAACTTTTTCATTAACTATTAAGTTTTGTGATAGATCATTAATTCCAAGAATAGATTTGACTTTTTGTTGTAATTTACCATCCAATAATTCATATAAAGGATATAATTCATCCCAACTAATAATTTGTAGATCATTAATATTATTTTGACAAGATGTTGCCCATTCTTGAAGATCGTTTTGTTCAAAAGTTTTATTGTCCTTTGATAATAGATAAGAATTTTCTGAACCATAACTCTCAATTAAATCTTCCCATTGAACCCATAAATTTTCAAATTTGCTCTTTTCAAAATCTTCATGAGACATATATTTTATTTCTTGAGTTTTCTTTTCTGGCAATGTACTGTTCCTTGCTAAATATGTTATTCTACATAATTTATGCCCAAGGGTAACTTTTTTTGGTATAAAATGTCCGTAATATTCAAACACTTTTATTAATTTATGATAAGGATTGTTATCTTGTAAAGAATCTTTAACTTCTTGAATTAACCTTTCAGGAAGCTTTAAGTTTTCTTTACTAAAAATCAATTCACAAATTGGATATTGTATTTCGAGATAAACTTCATTAACAGGTTCATCATTAAAAAGATTTGAAATAAATTTAGATATCCAATTGGAATGTTTTGTACTAATTGCTAATGTATTAATATGGTTTTTTAATAAAAAAGAATCTTTTTTGCGTTTTTGGGATTAACAATTTTGCATGAAAATTTCCAGCATTATTATTCATTATTAAAGGATTGAATTTGGGATAAATGTCGAATTTAAGTTTTGAACGCTTAGGATCTATTCCTCGTTTGCAAATGAATATTCCACGATTTAAGTTTTTATCTTTCATTAAATATTCGTTACGCTTCATAATAAACTACATATAAATAAATGAAAGAAAAATCATGATTATGTTTGTGTTTATGTATAATCTAACTTTTACCAATTATATTCTTATACATACATCTTCAATTTCATCATTTATTAAATAATCTTCAACAATTTTTCTTTGTTCTTTAATATTGATCATCGTAGAATAATTTGAATTTAAACGCAGATTTTTCATGCAAGTCCAATAATCATTCATAACTAATCTAAATCTTTCTCTTATACTCGTAGCATCTTTATATCTTATAGAACCATTAATCTGTGTAATACTTTCAACAAATGTTTTACAGTTTAATAAAGATATTTTAAATTGTTCAATCATGACAAAATCCCTTTCATTTTCTTCTTGACGTTGCAAAAACTTTATGACAGGCTCTGCGGAAAATATCATTAGATTAATAAATTCTCTACATATTTTTTCATTATTACGAGATTCTTCGCATTTTTGTCTGATCTTATTGACAATATCATATGATGTAGATAATTGTTCATCGCTGTTTGCGATAATATCTTGAGAAATTTGCATCGATGAATAGTTTTATTTGTACCCAGGGTTATAGTATAAAATATATCGTTATTGGATTGGCATACTTAAATATTTTTCTCATGGTCACATGATATAAATTATCTAACGCTAATTACTATTTCCCATTGTTTGTAGGAACAAAGATTCCGGATTTGTCATTATCCGCAGAAATTATTTAATAAGAAAACTTAGTAATACAAGTAATTTGCTTCGGTAAATTAAACTTTTTATTGGTATATTCAATATCCAGATAAGCCCAAAAATTATCAAAAAATGTATTCATTTATAAATATAGTAATTTATATGACCGTTTGATACCGTGTCAGCATAATTTGAATATCGGGTTAGGTGGTCGTAAGAAACTTTGTCAATTTCGTCAATGAGAAAGACAAAATCTTTAATAGAATAATTACATACGTACAATACCTAATTGCTATTTATCGTTATGCTATCTGAACTTGACGTTAATAAATTACGTATTTGAATAGTAATTTTATCAAGCATCCATTGGTAGCACGGCCAAATTTTTTTTTTAAAAAAAAAGGTTAGCGCTTTAGAACTTTTAGAATATTCTTTAATTACTTGTAGTGATTTCCATTTATGGAATGGTTTTAAGGTCACACTATTTTGGCTCTAACCTTAATTTGGAGACGATTTAAATATTAAAACGTTAAGGGAGTGTCAAGAAGAAAGAACCAGCATTTATATATATGTGCATGAAATAAGAAAACATTCTTTATAGATACGTATTAGATATATCATCTAATCATTTTATTCAAAAACTATTGATCTGATCTGCTCACCCGATATTAAATGCATAATTACGTAATTTTGATGATCTAATGAAATTATCAATAACGTGTAACAATACATTTTTTTTTAAAGATAATATTCCACAAATAGGTATACGATTTGGAAACGCGGAGATGTTTTAATACTCCGTCAAAAATAATTTGAGTCTCATCTATCTCCCTGAGATTCCCAATTCTAGTATTCGTTTGCGAAACACTACTTAACGATAAAGGTCTAGTACAAAATATAATTTGTACAATTTATAGTAATCCTAGGATTGTGAAACCTCCAAGATAATATAAAAATGAACTCCGATAAAGGCTCATTTATGAGATACTATAATAGCATTTTTATTCCCCAAAAAAATGAATGATGGATATATTAATAATAATAATGAAATGCTTAAATACGTACCAGATGAAGAAATTGACAAAATTCTAGAAATGCTTAAGGTAGAAAAGTATCATTCTTTGAGTAAAGACGGTGAACAAATTTCTAGCGATGATGAAGTAAACAGAGAACTATCTAAAGTGTCTCAATTAGTAGACAACATAGACAAAGAATATATTTTAAACAATAAACAATCATGTTGTTTCGATTTAACTAGGAAGTTTGAAGGATATACATTCGTTAAAGATTATATTGAGAAAGCTTCCAAAAAAGCATTCACAATTGATGTTGATAAAGTTGAATTAAAAACTCAAATAAATAATGTAATTGAAAATATAGAAAAATGTAATAGAATGTTTGATATTTTATGCAAACGAAACTTTATATCATATGAAAATATTTCAAGTATTTTACCTTGGCTTTCCATCTTTTATGGAAAAGAACAAAATACATCCGGTCAAATGCTTGAACATCTTACAAACACTACTGAATTTTCATATAAAAAATGGGAAAAATCGGAGCTTATTATTTCAAAACAAAGTATTCGTCCTACAAATAGTTTTATCACAGATGTTAAAAATGCGTTAAAAGGTACTGATAATAAAAGCAAGGTAACTAAACTTCGAGAGGTAACAAAAAAATATGGCAACTTCTACGCACGTCGACTTGTTTTTGGAGGTGCTATAATTAGAGAAAATACTAATATAGAAACTGTAGAAACTTTAGGTAATGTTAATTAATTGACAGTAAACAACTAACTTTTTATCGAAGTTTCTTACCGATAATTAATTTTTTTATTTTTATTTTTTTTGAATCGTAACCCAATCCAACAATATAAATTTTAACGATAATAAAGCAAATATTATTAATAGCAATCAAAATTCTAAAGTCAGAATTATCGGTGGAATTAAAAAAGAATACAATAATGATTCTATAAAATCTTGGGTCAATTCTCTTGATAATTATACTACTTGGGACATCATAGAATATGACGAAATTTATTCAATCTTCGATTTATTAGATGATAATTTACAAAAAGAAATCTTAGATGCTTTAGGTCACCGAATATTAAAAGGTATAATACTTTTCAATGTTATAAATATGCTAATAATATATTAATAATTTGCATTATTGATTTTATTCAAATTAATCTTTTTTATTATAGCGGATGTCAAAGATATTCCATTAAATTGGGATTTTTCAAAGAAATCAACATACGTACATTCATTAACTACACATTTTGCAGAGTTAGATAAAATCACAAATATTTACAACTGTCACATATTTGCTTCATTTATAAACAAGAAAGATAGAGATTTTTTTTCTTTACGAATAGATTATATGAATAAAAATATCCCTTTAATTATAGTTCATCCTAAAAGGCCTCTACATAAAAAATGTAAAAAATACCCTATAAAAATTGGATGGGTCATTGTTGGTCAGCTTAATAATTTTGACTTTGACCAGACTAAATATCCTGTAGTACTCAAAAAAAGTAGCGAATATTCTATTTTAAAAGTGGATAAACATTATAAGATAGAATTTCCTAAATGCGACAGATATTTAGACTTTTTGGATTCATGTGCATTGAACACATGTGTATTTGGTCTACTGAAAGTTAACTCATCTGAATTACACTTAACTTCCAATAATTTAACTAGCTTTTCAGTTTATGATTTAAAAGATATAAAAAAAATCTTGGAATGATGAAAAGATTCTACAGAAACCAGCTTTATTCTACTGGTGAGTATAATGTTTTTAAGTTTCTAGTTAACTCTAGCTTTTTTATTAACTTGATTTTATAGTGTTAACGATACAGATAATTCTTATCAAACATGCGATTTTGGTCAAATAATTATTAATTGGCAACAAAGACAAAATAAAATTATATCTGAGATATCCTATGATGATATACCCTCTGATTATAGAAAAATTACTTACTTTTTTTTACCTGATCATTATTAGAATAAAATTTAATCATTTTATCATAGAATGTAACAATACCTATAAATCAATGAATTATTTTAAATAGTTTATTGAAACCATTTTCTTAAGTCGAATAATCAGTAGTATTCATTTTCATTTATACTAAGTATAGATTGGGTTATTATAGAGATTAATATTAATATAATTAATATAAGTGAGAATATGATTGTAGTAAATTAGATAAAGTGTTCTCAATGAATGTAAGTATGGGAAATAATAAAATATTTCTAATTAAATACAAAGTTAATGAACAAAAGTTCCAGCGTAACCAATAATAGAGGTAGCAGTCACATGACATTTCAATATTGCAAACCTGCACCTACTTTTGATATGTGCTACAGAATATTTAATAAACAAAATTTTAAGAAACCAACCTCTATCCCCGCCGCACGGGATATTTGGGAAACCGCGATTTGCCCATCACTAGTAGTCGGTATATAATAATTGGGCCTAACCCAACCTGGGTTATCCTAGTGCAGGTTCAAAAAGCTTAACCTGACCTGACTAGAAGCCCTAATTGGGATTGCAAAACAGATAAAATTATGTATATAAAAAATAAGCATTAGCTAGATAGAAAACAGTAAAAAATGCATTTAAAAATTGGGCTAGGTTTGCAAATCAGTGATGCTATATATGTGAAACTTATTTATGCATTCATACCCAAGCTTGACATGCTATCCTGAAGGTCCTTAAATACCTTAGGATCTGTTACATCTTTTAAGGCCAGAGTTATCATTTAGCAGAGATCAACAGAAGGCTTCAGGCCTTTGTATATTACTGAACTTATGAGATAGCTCATACTTCATTAAGTCCATTATATGACGTCCTGAGTTCCTGGTCCTATAGTGTAAGACCTACATTCTCTAGGTCTGCAGTTCTCTAATTTCACATGACATACTAGTTAGATCATTCTTTTATTTTATTAGTCCTTAAGCTGGGTTTCCTCAATATTAATGTCATTTGTTGATGGATTTGTTTTATTTGGTTGTCTCTAACATCATGGTTATACTAGTAGACTATTTTTGTACATATATATCTTGTTTTTTTCTAAACAGGAAAGTTCTTAGAAGATCTTTTTCAATTGTAGTTCTGGCAAAGCTTTGTTACATAGTTGGATTTGAACTCGTGACCTTGTAATTGTAACTCAGGAGTGCTAACTACTGTACTATTAACTCATAGATCATTAAATTGTATTTAAATTTGAGTATCTAATTATTTTATAACTAATTTTAGAAGATCTATAGACCTTGTTATTAGACAAATTACTTAAAGTTTCAATAACTTCTTTAGTAATAATTTCTAATAATATAGAGTTATACTATTCAAGTTTAATATCTGAAAAGGGTTTGTATTTTTTATTTTAGTTAGAGTTAAAGATTGTTTAATTAAGACTTTGATAAGTAGTCTATTTATAAAAGTGCTATTCAATAGCTAACTTAATTGCAAAGAGTTTAGTTATAATTTCATTCTATATTTTGATATTATAAATATATTTCTATATCTTTTTATTTAGAGTTAGATAACTTATTCAAGTAGTTAGTATATTTGTTAAGTTTTTAAAAAGTTTTAAAAACTTGGTATCTTTGATTTTTAGATATATTCAGAATGTCTAAAGATTTTAGTATTAGATTTAATAATAAATTTGTTGATAAGAGTTTGTTTTAAGTATGATATAAGTTTATTTTATTAAAAAACAAATTTTAAATAATTTAGAATTAGGTAATATATTTAGAAAAAAAGTATTAAAAGTATATAAGTTAGAAGAACTAAGAATGAATAAGAAATTATTATATTAAGAAAAATTAAAAGTATTACTAAGTAAAGATTATAAAGAAAAAGAATTATTAGTAAAATAAATTAGTAAGTTATAATATTGCTTTTGTTTATAAAGTATTTTATTATTATTTATATATTTAAGTTTTAGTAAAATTAATAGAAATTTTATAGAGTTAGAAAAAATTATTAGAACACAATTTAGTAACTCTCTCTGCAGATTACTTAAACTAAGTTTCTAAAAAAATATTTTGTTATAACTAAAATTCTACTAAGTAAACCTTCTTTGGGCCATTAAGTAAAGTTGTTCTACAGATAATTCTACTTCTAATCAGCCTAGTTTCATATCTCTGTACTAAATATTGCTGAAGATATTAATTATTTTAGTTCTCTACTATTTTTGCTTACTTACTCATAATTTTATTAAGTAAACTTATCCTGTTTATTAATAACAAAAGATCTAGCTCTCTGTACAGATCATTTTAGTAAAAGTTTTATTAAAAATAGACCAAAATTCAGGAAATTATCTCAAAAAACCTGTTCAAAGGCTTTTTTCTTCTCTGTAGATCAATTTAGAATATTTCAAAAGCAATTTCAGAAATTTTACTAGCTTGCCTTGGAAAAACAACTTTTTAAGCAACCTTTAAATCATCCAATTTCAGAAATTTTGCTCACAACTTCTGAAAAACTTATAGGCTCTCTGGAAAAATTATTGGTTTTTTATTATAACCTAAATCTTAGACCTAATTGTAACCAAACAGTAACCTAAATCTTGAACCTAACTATTACCTAACTGTAACCTAAATATTAGACCTACTGTAACCTAACTGCAACCTAACTACAACCTAACTGTAACCAATTTTTGACTATGCCTACTACAATTGATATTACTTCTGACTCCTATAATATTGTTTACTTCTTTGCTCATTATAATAATCACTATGGAGTAGGCTTTGCTGAAGCAGATTCTGACAAAGTATGTGTCCTTGCAGCCTGCTTTGATCCTTATGAATGTAATCTAACAAAACTTCATCATTTTATGAAAGTTCCTCAACAACCTTGTACTGCAAACTTGTTACTGCAAAAAATACTATATTACTTTTACATCTCTTAGATATAGATATTCTGAAACTTCTAGACATTTAACTCCTATTCCTTCTACTCCACTACAACTAATCACAAGTCTTAGCAAACTACTCTTCTGCAAAAATGACCTCTTGTTTTAATCTTCTATTAAGTTTAGCACTCAAGCTTCACCTACACTTCTCTTTCTATTTGCTATATTTATTTCAGCTAAATCTATTAACCTATCTATAGTCACAATTGCTGGCTACTCCCACTACTCTTATATATACATAATTTGCTATCAACAAAATATTACATGTGTAGTTCTTGCTAACCAAAAACATCTCCTTGAATCTACTGCAACAATTATTAATAAAAGGCTTATGCACCAAGAATACTTCAATAAAATGAAAATTAAACTTAAACAAACCCAATCTCTTATCCTTACTTTTAAACAAAGATTAACTTATAGCATAATTAAATTTATTCTCAAAACTAAAAAAGCTAAACATGAATTTCTCAAACAAATTAAAATCTCTTTTACTAAAAACAAAAAGCCTCAATCAACACATAATACTTCTAAAGATCTCAATTGGTTTGCAGAATATCTAATCACTGATGATATGAAGCCATATACACAACTTAACAATTCTCTAATGTCAAAAATCTTTGATTTCATTAAACCATATTTAATCAACTTTAAACCTGGTCAGAACAAACCAAAATCCTACTTCTAAGCTACAACTAACACAACTGCACTAACTACAAAAGAAACTAAAGAATCTAAATATACCTTCAAAAATTTTCTCTGCACTTTAGCTAGCAAACACCCAGACTTCTTAACTAACTTCATATATGAAGCAAACCCAGATATTAATTGTTCAATTGAAATTCTATTCAACATTCTCTACTCAACTTTCACATCCTTTCTTGCTTTATTTACTAAAGTATTATTCACTCAACTAAATTACAAACATATTTTTTTTTCCCATAAAAGTATTACACCTTATACAATTCCTAACAGGATTAATATTGCAATTAATCTTGCCAGACTTCATCTTTTTCTTAACTATTATTATCAAACTATTAACAAAAAACCTCAAAATCACATCTATTCATATGCAACTGCATTATAATTTTCTTATTGATAAACCTAATAGCTCTCTTGTTACAATTAAAAATAATAACAAGTTTAATATTTATATTAATCTTAACATCTCAAAACATACTTTATCAATACTTACAAAATACCTTCTTTAAAAGAATATAACCATTTTTTTGAAAAATAGTTTAATACCTTCTATGATATTTATAGCTGACAATTTATCCTTATTAACAAAACAAAAATAATGAACTATATTAAACATCAAATCTATCTCCAATTTTCAACTTATCTTAAAAAACTTCTTCCTACTATCTTTGAATTTTCTAACATTCACAATATTCAAAGTAGAACTAAGCAGACAATTATGGTTACACTTCATCATCTCCATCTTTGTGATTATTTTACTTCATATATCTGCTCTATAATTTCTGAAAACCAAACTTATAACTTTAGAATGATTTTTAAAGTTTTCTTTAAGCAAACTTTTGATCAATTCTCAACCACATTAGCTATAGAAATTGATGGTAAAACTAAACCAACATTTACTTAATCTACACTTGACTTTATAATCTTTGATAAGGACTAGAAATATCAAGCAACCTTTAATATTCTAACATCTATTCTTCTAATTAACAAACTTGCTAATAAAATTGAAAAACAACATATAAATCTCAATAAAGTTGAACCAAATCCAAAATGCTATACATACTACTTTTATTGCTTCTTTAAGGCTTTCCTCAATACAGCTGCTAAAAATAATAGTATAGCAGAGCTAAGT